ATAGATTTTTTGTATGAATGTAAACTTAAACCCACGTCCAATGAACTAGGATAAAATTGTACTTTTCAAATGTCAAAAAAGCATAATTTTTTATCTTTCATTTGACTCCATGCTACGGACGGGAGATATATGTCTACTCGTTATGTGAAACGGGGTTATACTTCTCCCCGTTGGCGTGCTTTAGCAAAAGGACAAGATAATTTTATGTGTTGACAGTGGATGTAATCGGGGGATAAATTTTTTGTCCCCAGTCCATGCTAGCCGTGCTGCATTCGGTATACCCTGTTCATCATAGATCAACATATACTCTGATGAGTGCAGCTCTGACTACCAAAAAGTAGCGGCACACTCAATCTAAACTCAAAATCATTCAAACCGGTGATGGGCATCAGCTTTGCCAGTGTGCTATGACATTGTGCTGAGTCTGTAAAGCATGCAAGAATGGGAAAATCCTTGAAAACACCTTTATGCAGCAATGGTCTGAAAAGCCAACCCAGTGATACTTATCTATTAAAATTTTAATTGCAGCAATATTTCGTGTGCAATCGTGGTTGGTACGTACTTCTTAGAAGAAATTATAATGAGCATTAAAATATTTTAGCTTAAGATTTGCACTTAATCGAGTCGCTCATCTCGAGTTTTATGTGCGCGCTTCGGCAACAGTGTCTGTCTATTCAAGGTTTGGTAGACCAGAACAGTATGCCCTATAAACTGTTCTCGTGTAGAACAAATCAAAGAACCAGTGCAATACATTATAAAATAAATTAATTTCAATGTCATGTTCTAAATCTGACACCTTAGAGAACCGGATACACTTTTTACTGGAAAAGAGGCATCAATCTTAGTCCTCACGGGTGACCACGCACCTCCATTTTGATTCGCAAACGAGGATAAATGTAGATGACTACGGGCCACAGCAATCACTTACCATCAGGTGGACTTTGTGCTCGTTTGTCACCCTATCCTATAAAAAAAAACCTTTTGATATATTGTTTAGAAATTAAACTCTTCTTGTGAAGCATGGTGTGGCCTTAAATTAAATAGGGTTTCATTTTAAAATTAAGTTTCCATATTATATCATAATCCTTAAATAAATAACTATATATGATAAAAATCGAAAATAATAAATCGAAAAACATCACATCTCTATTTTTATTAATGACCTGAAATCGAAATTTTTTTGTATACATTTTGACTATTTTTTTCTAAGAGTTGATATTTTGGATACATACATTTAGATCTGCCGGCCCACTCCCGATAGAATGGAGTTTAATTCATAAATCCATTCTTTTTTTGGTTTTGAATTGAATTTTATTCTACTTTGTTCTATTTACGTAATAAAAATAATTAGGAGGTGAGTTTTAAATTTAATACAAATGATCTACGGATAAAAATAACAGAGTGATTGGATTTTCTCGATTGGAATTAGTTCAGGAGTAAGCCTCTAAAATCAGATTTGAAACTACTTTAGTTTGAAGAATTCGAAAACAATTACGGGAGTAAGCCTGCTGTAAAGTCTATATCTACACAACAAATGAACATAACGACTGAAGGATATTATTTCTGACTCTAAGCTCTGGTACTTACATTGTATAATATATAGGTATGTCTAAGCAATAAGTTTAAAATGGGTCTATTAAGACAAATTTGGGCTTACATTTTATGTAGAAACTTATAACAAATTAAGAAATGATAACTGGAATATTATACAGGGTTATTTTGCAATAACCGGTCAAATATTCAGAGGAAGTTCAGAATAAGTAACATAGGCAAATAGTGAAGAAAAAGTAATTTAAAAATTTTAATAATTCTTTCCTTTTTATCTTTTAAATTCAAAATGCGTAAGGGTCGATCGGTAGGCAAAAACGTTGTTGCGTATAAATTATTTGGGATGGAAGCCTTATTTAATCGTATTTTCAAAAACTCCAATAACATTATTTATAAATTTGAACTTAAGTTTAAAATTTACTATTCTTTGAAAAATAACCCTGTATATTGAGTTAAAAGATCTGTCCTATTTTATACTATTCATTTATGTAAACACTTAAATAGACACTTATTATAATATTGAGAAATCTGCTTTAACATGTGATTGAAAGTCGAAACACCAATAATTTTAATTTGATCATAAAATTATCATGCCACTGACCTGAAAGAATGTGAGAGAAAAAGAGAAACTAATTGATTCAATTGCAAATTAACATTAATCATTGTAATCACATGTGCTAACTAGGCACATCTTTAAGTCGTGCAAATTCTATGTTAGATTTTTTTTCTGTATTTAAAAGAAAAATAAAAGGAGAATTAACAAAAATAATACATATTACATGTGTAATAAAGTGCCTTAATAACAGAACCCATTACCCAATAAAACAGAACAGCTGCATCTTCCTGATAATAATATAAAAATTACAGTTGCCAACCCGTCTCCCAGGCGTGGCTACTATGGCAAATGTGTAGCAGTGGACTTTTGATAGGATGTCACAAATGAAATGAATGAATTCTAGAAAATAATAAAGTAGATAAATTATTTATTGTCGTTAGGTAAATATATAATTACATGATAATATTATGATCATCATAACTATAGACAACATTTATTGCAACGGGAATGCTATGTAACTGTTTAAAATGGACTTTATTGACATTTATCTGAATCCCAGTAATATAGTAACATCAATATTATTTTGAAAAGATTGAAAGCTTAAGTACACATTTCAGAAATTCACTAATATACCTACGGGATTGTTATTTGTTACAGTATGTGACAGAATAATGGAGTTACTGGAGTGTCTTATACTCTTTATACCTGATATATAATAGACAATGAGTTAAATTTTATAATATTATTAAAACTTATGGTTTTTCTGTAATATTTTTTACAAATAAGGTAGGTGAGTGTAACATGGTCCACCTTAAGCTAAGTAAAGTCAAAAGTAGGAGGAGGACAGAGACAAAAACACAGAGTCGTATACTATAACTAATATATTAAGAAAAAAAAAAATAGCAAACAAGCTTTGGCAATAATTAGGAACAATTCCCTTTTGACCCTTCATTATTTGATTGACTGACGAAGAACTATCGTATCACAGAGACAAAGGATGAAGTTTTTGAGTTATAAGAATATGATGGAAGATGTGATTTAGATGTGGACAGGCGTGTCGCTGCCGGGAACAAAGTCAATGGTGCCCTGACTGCGTTAGTCAAAAGGCAAGGCGTAGCGAAGAGTGCACGCCTTGCAATACATAACGCAGTGTTGGTACCGACTTTGTTATATGGCAGCGAAACCTGGGTATGCCAGAAGAAGCATAAAAGCAAGTTGAATGCAGTGGAGATGCGATCTCTTCGTAAAATGTGCGGCGTTACCATGGCCGACCGAAAGCGAAACGAAGAGATTCGCAATATGGCAGGTTTGAAAGATGACCTTATCACAAAAATTGATAAGCGCGTGCTTCGGTGGTTTGGGCACGTTGAGCGAATGAGTGAAGACCGAATGGTGAAGAAAATATATAGCGCGAAAGTTAATATTAAAAGGTGTCGAGGTAGACCGAGACTAACTTTCGAAGACCATGTGAGCAAATTGCTCGAAGAGGGTAGGGTCAAGAGTACTCGGATACCTAGACGTGCATGTATGAAGAAGATAATGAATCTGAAAGAAGCGAAAGAGGTATGTAAGGATCGTGACACTTGGCGATCTGTTCTCTCTGGCTACCCCGTCAGGGATTGTGCGTGAAGATAAGTAAGTAAGTAAGAATATGATCATATTAATCGGATGACCATATTACCCTCACGTACTATACATTACAGTCGCTGAGAAAGTAACAGTAAGATTATCATTTATTAAAATGTTCCATCCTTATAAGATTATAATAGATAGTAAAAATAGATAAATAATTTGGCACTTAATATATGCATTTCACAATAAAATTTACGTACAAATATATATTTATTTAAAAACAAATTAACAGCCTATTTAAATAATTTAACAAAAACAATAATTAGAATGACCTAAAAATTTGTAATTTAGTGTAACAAATCTTCATAACAAACTAATAGACATGCTTCTATGTTTATGATTATGTATTAAAATTTCGCCAAGTACCTACTGCAAACAATTTAAGTATAGTTGCAGCCTATAAACGTCTCACTGATGGGCAACAGACGTGGCTGACGCTGCTTTGCCTAAGAGTGCTTTAAGGCTAGGTTAGCTACCACCCTGCTCCAATGCGTGTTGGCGGATTTCACATGTCGTCATTTCTTTTTTAATTTCAGATATTCAGGTTTTCTTTCAAGGTTTTCCTTCACCGTTAAACACGGGTTCGATCAGCACTTCAAATTGGATATAAAAATTTCATTGGTGCCGGCGGGAATCGAGCCCGAGTAGTTTGTGTGTTGTGAAATTTATGGCTAGTACTTGAGTTACCACACCTACTATAAATCAGACATTAATTTATAAAAATAGATATATTTAAAAATTACATCTCAGTTGGAAAATACCAATACTTATTAAATGAGAAATTATCAACCATATAATATTATCTAGATACATTCTAAATAAATAGGTATCTAATATGGATACATAGACATATGTATAAATATGATATTAATAGAGCTTTATGGTTTATTGAAACCATAACATATGGCTTTGTATCAATTTCATTTCGAAAGAAATTGCTCGTAAAAACTAAATTACCACCGATTATGATATGATACAGATATGTAACAGAAATTTAACTCGAATAGAGTTTACAAGTGAGGGACTAGAAAATACCGTGATATGTAAACCAAATTTGTACAATTGTACTACTTACAATAAACCAATAAAAATAATGCCATCTCACAATTGACGTGGCTATAAATTGGCACCGTTGGAGTTTAAAGTTTCATACTTATTTAAGATTGTTTTAAATAATTTAACATTGTACAATTTTATAAAAACTAAACAACTAAAAGGGTTTAAATTTAGGTAACTTGACTCAAATGAATTTGATTTCGTTCCTTTATTTGGTAGTGTGCCTTGTCCATTGGGCGCGGAGTGCCGTCATCAACTCGCTCCGGTTTGGCACTTTTTCGCTGGTGCTACGCGTGATCGGAGCCGCTGGGGACAAATCTCCCGGAACCGTTAGTGAGCCACTAGCGTTTTCAGGGGTTTTCTGCGCTTGAAGGACATCCGACGTGCTTTCAGAGGGACTAACTGGCACAATAAGCCTTACACGTCCGTCATTACCAGTGGCCGCCAATGTCGCGTTGTGCGATAATGGCATTATAAATGGCTGTCCTTCGTCGGAGCTAAAGGCATCTGGAGACGAGTCCTTAGAAGTCGTAGGTTGACTGTTACTATACAGGGAGTTTTGGGATTGACCCACACTCATCGCTTGAGCCAAAGCGCCTGCTTCATCACTTGAGCCAGACGTATCCTTGTATAGCTGATGGTTTAGCAAGTTTGCTAAGTCGGAATTGCTAAAATGGTTGGTGAGCGGTGGGATGTTCGGGAACGCATTGCTGTTCTGGAAGAAGTGCTGATTGATGTTCGCGGTCTTTTCGACGTGCCCGTTGGCAAATGTCATGTTTTGGAATTTAGAGATGAGATAATTCTGGATTTGTTCATTCGTCATCCCCGCGAAGCATGGCGCCGATCCATTTATGTTACCGTCAGGAATAGTTGGAGACACGTTAAACGTAGACAAGCGTACGTTGTTGTTCTCGATATTTTGATGTTGCGTGGGCTTGGAGTTTTGTGCTAGAAAATTAAGCAAGGCATCGTTGTCGAGTTGCTGCTGATTACCGTTGTTATTTATGAAGTTTTCTGTTGTGTTTGCGTCGCTAACAGCTTCGCTCTTCTGAATCGGCAACGTTAAAAGAGAGTTATTTTTTATTAAATGTAATTTCATACGAAATTAAACGAAAGCAGCTATTCCCAAGCAAATAATTAAAAAAGCAAAAACAAATGAATTACTCACATAAAATCAATATGCAGTTAAAAAAACAAAACGCGTCACAACACTTATTATATATTATGTAATAAAGAACAACACTTATTAGGTTATTTCACATCAGTTTTGAATGGGGTCCGTTCATTATTTTGTATTTAATGTAGTCAAAATAAAGCATATCCAAAATATACATCAATTGATTGATTTTGCACTAAGCATTACAATATTTTGTAGAAGGTTTATTACAGACCCAAACATTAATATCCTGATGTGACTACCTACTTCTAACAATTAAAGCAATATTTTCAATAGCAAATTGTTGACACATATTATATCAGTACTTGGTATTAGGAAAATCTAAGTCACACACAACAAGCCTTTAAGAATAATTATCTTAAAAACAAGAAATTATTTTAGTGTTTGTGTAGACGACGGATGGTTCACGATATTTTTTCTTCCCTGTGACAGTAGAACCTAAATGAAAGTAGCCTAAAGAGAGTCTAATGTGGTAGATCGTACCTACTTACTCTTTATTTATTTGTTTGACACTGGCAGGTTATTAATAACCGTAAAGACTAGATATTTACTGATACTCGTAGGTTTGAAAATTGAACATATAAATTTATATTTGTTTTTTTTTTTTTCGTAAGAATATGGCGGTAATCCGCTCATAGCCATTAAGCAGTTTTATTTAAACTTAAAAAAAAATTAAAGCCGCCATAATATTTAGAATTTTTTGCTACAACTTTGGTGAGTTTGTTTGTTCACGAGCAACAGTTTTTAAAAATGAAGTGAAGACATGTCGACAATCAACCGCGGTTGACAAGAAGATATTCAAGCAGTTGGAAAACTTATTCGAGAACACCGATGTATATTACGAGGATGTCTATGGGCCACAGCAACCACTTACCATCAGGTGGACTGTGTGTTCGTTTGTCACCCTTGTCCTATAAAAAAATTACGAGATTTCTAGTGTCTAAAGAAAAATGATTAGAGGTATTTTCCAAGTGGCTTAGACATATTCAAAAGTGTATACATGATCACGGTTTATACTTTTAAACGATCGATATTTACTAATGAATAACCGCACACGGCGTAAAAATAGTAGCCTATTGAAAATACTGGGACTCGGCCACGTCGTCAAACACTGACTGCTTGGACAAGTACACTTGTGCTTGAGTCGGCCGAAAAGTTACAGCTAAAGTATTGGCATAGTTCTGCCTATCGATGTACGTCTCACTGGCAGTCAACTTTGAAACGGTCGTGCAAGTTGAGTCCGTGATGACTCCAACGCGTACTTTTCCTATTCATTTCATGATCTTTGATGCAAAACACACGCGGAGGAATTTTGTCCGGAGAACCTGATGCAGAATGTGAAATACTTTTTTGTTTCTGATTTGTTTCTGTTCTTTATAGAAGGGTTATATTATTGTAATAATATTTGTAAAGTTATCAGAAAAGTAAAAATCCTATATATATATATATTAGGATTCCTACTAGGACCAGTTACTTGACTCCAAAGAAACAGAATGAACAATGTGATCCCTACCAAGCTATTTATAATTTGTTTTGTATTGTTAATTGTGTAAGATATAAACTGTATTTTTTTTTCGAAAACATGTCTCGCTGAGTTTTTTGCTGGTTCTTCTCAGGACAGAGGATTTTTCCGAACCAGTGGTAAATTAGACATAACAGTGACTTTTAGAAAGTATTATTTATAATCAACATGGAACAAAAATGGTTGCTGTTTTTGTTTATCAAAAAGTTCCCACCACGGGAATGAGATGATAGTTACTATACTGTTTCTAATTATTTCCATATTTAGTTGTACTTTACATAAGTATTTAAAAAAAACCCGCGATGTTTTGTTACTGTTTGATTGGCTTTAAATAAGTTCTCTTGTAATCTATATACCTAGCATAAAAATTATTCCATTCTGTTTTATTTTGCGTTTAGAAAAGACAATAGTATGCCGCTGGTATAACAAATTAAAGCACGGTCATCAAACTTTGAAAAGTGAAGTAAGAAGAGGTCGGCTCGACCACGCTCACACAGAATACCAGCGTAAAATAGCAGCTTACTACTGCTGTGTTTCGAATGCTGAGTGAGAGAGAACTTAAATTTTAGTTTCAGCATCTTTAATAATGTAGTAAACACGCGAAGTGTACGGGTAGATACTGTGACTCATAGACATCTACATTTATTCTCGATTAAGGATCAAAATACAGATGCGTTGTCACCCCTGAGAAATAAGATGGAATGCCTAGTTTCCAGTAAAAAAGGTATCCGGTTCTCTACAATAATAGATAATATCGAACCGTCGAATGGCGCTTTGTTTCTGGATTCTGGAACGAAGCGCCATTCGACGGTTCGATTGTTTCAAAATGAACCAATGAAGTAGTTAAGCGAAGTGGTAATGTAAGTAGTATCAATGCTGAATGGTACACCATGTAACGTTTACCAGAAGTGTTCATTGCTGTGAGTAACTAGCGACCGAACACCGGATTCCATGGGCTGTTCTATTGCTTCACCATGATAGAGTACCCACGTACTAATAGCTTCATGACTTTTGCATCCTTACAGCTATGATTTAGCACCGTGGGACTTAGTTTTATTGTCTAAGATAAGAATCAGCTAAACGGGATACCTACATTTTTCATTGCCGGAAGATCCGCTAGTAACGTTAAAGGGTATCTGAAGCGGACTGGAAACAGTTTTTCTGAAATTCGTTCAAACGTATGAATTTTGTATCGATGCTGGTGTAGAGTTCTTTAAAACCTTTAACCATGAAACATTTTGTAATTTCACACTACTCTCTGAGTGGCCCACGTATACAGGTTGTAACTTACGTATGAACAAATATATTCAATTGTTCCACTTATAATATGCAATCATTTATTTCGACGGATAAATTATAGCGGACGGTTGAAAATCATCCCTTAACCGAATTATACTGATTTCATCTGTACATAGCATCAACAAAAACCAGCCAAGTGCGACTTAGACTCGCGCACCGAGGGTTCCGAACAAATCCGTAGGTATATAAGTTTAAAATTATTAAAAAAAAATTTATTATACGATGTAACTAAAAATTTATGTTTTTCGTAATTTTTCCTTTATATGTGCTTTAATACGTTGCTTCGTACCAAATTTCAAGATTCTGAGTTCACGGGAAGTACCCTGTAGGTTTTGATTCTCTTGCGAATGTCGAAAATTTGCGGCATAAACGGCTGTATCTTTTGATTGTGTTGGTTTAGAAGTTTGATTTTTTCACAGCTCTAAGGGACAGTAGATATGAGTATTTGATATGAATTTCAGCTTGATACCTCCACGGGTTCCTGAGAAAAAGGGTCTTGACAGACAGACAGACAGAAGGACAACAAAGTGATCCTATAAGGGTTCCGTTTTTTTGAGGTACGGAACCCTAAAAATTGATTTATAAGTGTTTATTAAATTAATAATTATGTACTAATATTCAAGTTTATTAAAACTAATTGTTCTATATTTTATTTTTTAATGTTTCATGCAATCTTACGATCTTTTTATTTTCTCGTTAACAGAGAGTCTAAGAACTAGTAACTTTGCATGTTTTTAAATTTAAGGTAAGCTAAACTGAAAGGCTTAATAACTGCATTGTGCGTTTAAAGCACGGTTTTAAAAAAAAATTAAATTTTTTAAGGCTTAAGACGAGTATTTATTTGAATATAAATGAATTTTATTTATTAATGCAAAGTGAGAAAAACTGCCAACAGTAACGTACACCCCACAGCAGGGCATATCTCCTCTCAAACTCACCGATGAAATGGTGCTGTGACATGTTTTCTAAATTTGAAGCTCGTCTCGGCATGTTTACGACGTTATTACAGATTATGAAACTTGGATATATCATTACGATCCAGAAACGTAGCGCACTTGACGGTTTGGCTGTTTTATAATGAACCGGCACCTACCAAAATGAAGCGATCGAGTGACACAGGTAAGATTTTAATCAATTAATAATAAGGGGACTGTTCCTTAATTATAATTCCTTCTCCCATTATTAAGCCGACCCTATGCTCAAAAGTAAAAATGTATCGTTTTCATACAAATTTCGCATAATACACGCCAAAGTATTCGATAAAAATATATAAAAGTAAGAATTTAAATGCATCTTAAAATGAGTTTAGAAATAGGTACATTGTATAGAGAAAGTTTAACAAAGCAAATCGAAGTGTTGACAATGCCGGGCTAGATGCAAATATCTTTTGAATTCTTCGAGAATGTCTCGCTAGTTGAAGTGGCTCCTTGTCTGTACTGGGTTTAATTGAATTGATACTATTCTATTCTTATAGTTATCGCTGCGAATTTCATAGAATTAAATAAACGGTGTTGCGTATTTAATTAAAAAAGTGGAGGTAGAGTGAAAATTCAATATATTGCTTAGACACTACAAATTTGAATATTTTAATTTTAGTTTTAATCGTTTAGAATAACTAAGCTTAATCCTGGGTGATAATCCTATGGCTTAATCGCACATACGCGTAACGTATGTGTGATTAAGCCATACGTTACGCGTTTGGCATAACGATTGCCATAGGATTATTCATAGGATTGCCAGTATACTCACTGAAATAGATTTTGATTTATTGATCAATTTTAAAGTATGATAACTGTATTATTATGTGTGAAATGTCGACGTTTGGTAAATCGTGTCCGTGCAAATCCGGAACGCCACGTTAGTTTAATTATAAACTTAATATATTTTATAATAATATTATTTATTTATTGTGAAATAAAATAGCCAGGATTTTGTAATCAATTTCTATGTCATCGCGCAACACGAAGGCGACAGCTGCATTGTTGTCGGAATATCATTCAAAACTTTCATGTTTTGACATTACAGAAAATACAATTATCAGTCAACAACAGTAAAAAAAAGATTTTTTTTACTGTTGTAAAAGATTTTTTAAATATTTCACTCTTTGTTCACTTAAAAAAATTGTAACAAACAAAATATAAAACCTTAATAAACTTTTATCACGCGATCTTGTTATTTATGTATAAAAGAAGGACTCTAATAAGTAAAAAATTTATAGTTCAATTATTTAAACTTTTATGTCAATTTTTGTAAAAACAGAGATTTGAAAAAAATTGTTAAATAACAATCGTATAATTTTTTTGAAAAATCTGTATTTTGGGGCTGTATTTATTCAAGTGTTCAAAAATAATAAATAATGGAGATGAAATTTCGGGAGTCGAGACTTTTCTATTGGAAATTTCTTCCTCTTTAAGAATCTTTTTTTAAAAGTACTTAAATATTAATAGTTTTCAAGCAATTAATGAAAACTTAATATCATTTTTCATCTTATTTTGTTAATAACAATTGCAATTTTTATAAGTTAATACATCCGCGAGAGACATGTTTCTAGACATCATTCCGAATCGAATTAGCTATCGTACATATTTTTAAGAGCTGGAACAAGAATTAACACGTTTTTGAACTTGTTGACTAGACTACAAGCATTGAGACTAAAGGGTGCGTACAAATCAAGTTACATGTTGTATAACTTTTGTTTTATAACACGTCCACATTATGTAACATTGTTTTTCGACATTGCAACATATAACAATACTATACATATTAGAATAACAATGCAATATAACAATGTTATATGACATTATCGTATGTCGTTCTGCCTTTTGAGTTATATAACATTTGTGTCACGTATAACGTAATACGTTTTATAATATTCAGCCTCCACATTACTGATACATGTTATATAACATCGTTTTATAACATGTTATGTTATATAATGTGTACGCACTGTAATATATACGATACGAAAATTCTACGTTGCTTAAATTATATTTTATACTTTTGAATAAAATAGTAATTATTTTATGTGTGGAAATTTTTAGTAAAATTAAGAAACATAGCATTGCTATGTAATTTAATATATCAGTTCCACTAAACACACTGAACACTATTACAAACATGCTGCTAAATATGAAAAAAAAGACAAATCAAAGCGGAGCCAGTATGTAATATAAAATGTTTTTATACCTGTGGCAAGAGTGTGAGTTGCTGAGCGCTGATTGGGCGAGTATTCCCCTTTTCTCGTTCTTGTAAGTGAGCGACTAGAGCTGCAATGTGCTCCAAAAGTTCCTTGTTATGAACCAGCAGTTGGTGAGTACGAGCCTGAAATAAGTGTAAGTAGCCGTTATTTTATATATATTTATTTAAATGTCTCCCCACCGCAAATACTTTGTTCTACTTTTTCTAATTATTTGCAATGTTACGGTGTATTATTCCCTGCTAGATGAACCACCATGCATACATGTTATTTTTTTTTTAAAAAACGTTACCCCCACACTAGGATTTTCTCCTGTGTCGTGGAGGCAGTTTATAAACATAAATTGCACAAGGACAAACATCCAGACCCAGAACAATTATTTGTAGGCCATACAAATACTTGTTCCGTGCGGGATTCGAACGGAGCCACGGAGCCGTCAAACACACTTATACACACATATTATGTAGACTGTATGAAATTAACAGCCTATATACGTCTAACAGCTGGTTATGGACATATTTGAAACAAACACACATCATTATAATTACAAAGTCCACTGCTCAATATAGGTCTCCCCCAAGGAATGTCACAGAGCACGGTCCTGCGCCACCTGCATCCTCAATGTCCAGACTTCCTGCATGTCTTACAAGGTCGTCGCTCCATCTAGTGGGTGGTCGCCCTACACTTCGCCTACCAGTCTGGGGCTGCAGAGAACCTTTCTTCCCCATCGGTTGTCGGTTCTTCGAGCTATATGGCTAGCCCATTGCCACTTCAGCTTAATAATCCGTTAGGCTATGTCGGTCACTCTGGTTATACTGCGGATATCATCATTTCTAAGTTTATCACAAAGAGAAACCCCGAGCAAAGCCCTTTCCATAGCTAGCTGAGCGACCTCGAGTTTCCTCATACGGCCAGTTGTGAAGGAGTACGTCTCAGATACATATATTATCACTGGCAACACGCACTGGTAGTACAATATAGGTTTGGGGTTTTGAGGTATGCCTGACGAGATGTGTCGTAATCTCCCGAAAGCTGCCCAGCCGAGTTGAATCCGGCGATAAACCTATCGGTCGAAGTTGGACTTACCTACTTCAGACTATTTGTCCTAGGTAAATATACTCGTCAACAACTTCGAGCTTAGTGCTCCCAACAATTACCGAAATAGGTGTGACATGAACGTTACACATGAGTTTTGCTTTGTTCATGTTCATCTTAAGGCGTGTCCGTTGGGAGACACTATTGTGGTCATTGAGCATAGTGCTTAGGTCCTCCAGCGAATCTGCCATATGGACTATATCGTTGGCAAATCGAAGGTGAGTGATGTACTCTCCATTGACTTTAATACCGTATCCTTTCCAATCCAGTCGCTTGAAAACATCTTCCAATGCAGCGGTAAAGTTTCGGGGATATAAAGTCACTTTGTCTTTTTTTGACGTGACAACGTCTTCTAATTCGATGAAGCTGGTTGCACGCACGAAAAAACATGACTCATGCGGTGTTACCTCGCTCTGAGGCGTTCCATTTAAGGCTTGAAGTGCAAGCGAGAGCGCGGAACGAGCGACAAAGAGGCACAATCGGCCTCCGCGTTCGGCAGCGTTCGACATCTGTCTCTCTCCTACTTGAGTGAGCGATGCGTCCGCATGGACAGCTGCTATACAATAATACATTTACATGTTTTCGTCAAGTATGAAGTGCAGTGAAAAGTGAATGTGGTGTCAATTGTTTATAGCAACGATAATTGCGGCGATAAAGGTAATTATTCTTTCGATATTAAATATATGTTCAGTGATATATTGTCGAGTATTCGTGCTTTCATCATTAAAATAAATAGCATCGGTCCGCTAGTGCAGCGATTGTAGGTTATGCTACTCCTTCTCTATATCCATACAAAATATCTATCAAACAAATAAAATTAAAAATTTCTTTTGAAAAATGCAACCATTCCATCAGTATTTTCTTATGACGTTGTCACGTTCAACTATCGTCAGTAAACCGACTTTACAGACAACCGATTTTTTTTTTGGAGAGGAGAGGGGTCAAACGGCCATGCGGCTCACCTGATGGTAAGTGACTACCGCCGCCCATGAACAACCGCAACACCAGGTGAATTGCAGATGCGTTGCCGGCCTTTTAGAAAGGTGTAAGCTCTTTTCTTGAAGGTTCCTAAGTCATATCGGTCCGGAAAATTCGCTGGTGGTAATTGATTCCACAAGGAAGTTGTGCGAGGGAGAAAACTTCTTCTAAATCACACAGTGGTGGACCGCCAATCATCCAGATGGTATGGATGGTAACGCAAGTTTTGTTGCGATGTGCGATGGTGAAATTGAGCGGCTGGAATTAGTCCGAACAATTCCTCAGAGCACTCACTGCGATAAAATACGCAAAGAGATGCAACATCTCTACGCAGTGCCAGTGTATCGAGCCGATCAAAAAGAACTCGGTCGTCAACGATTCGAACCGCTCTGCACTGTCAAGTGGAAGGAGCTGGCACTGGGGTGCCCCGGCCGTATTCCATGTGGGGCAGAACTTGCGCTTTGAAAAGTTGCAAGCGATGTGCCGGCATGAAATACTGTCTCGCTCTGCTGAGCACGCCAAGCTTTTTAGAGGCCAATTTGGCCTTCCCTTCCAAGTGACCACGAAACTGCGCACTACTCTCGATATGTCGACGCCAAGGAATCCGATACTAGCTGAGGCAGCAAGGGGAGCGCCTTGAAACTGAGGAGATACGACAAAGGGGTTCTTTTTAGCGGTAAACGCGCAAACTTGTGTCTTCTGGGGATTGAACTGGACTAGATTTAGTCGCCCCCAATCCGAGATTTTGTTCAGCAAAGATTCGACTTCAGACACAAGCTTGTCCTGGTACTCGGCGACGTTTTCCCGAGAAATATTGGCACGGCCGGTATATAAGACATCACCAGTGCTGTCGTCCGCATAGCAATGAATGCTACCAGTTAGCAACATATCATTGATATGCAGGAGAAACAGCGTTGGTGATAGCACGCAGCCTTGTGGAACACCAGCGTTGATAGGCTTGAAATCAGATCATGCACCGTCTACTACGACCTTGATGCTCCGATCAGCAAGGAAACTGGCGATCCATTTGCATAATTTCTTGGGAAGCCCATAGGAAAGAAGCTTCGAAAGAAGCGCTTTGTACCAGACCCGATCGAAGGCCTTCGCTATGTCCAAACTAACGGCAAATACCTCCCCCTTGGACTCTACTGCCTCCGCCCATCTATGAATCAGATAGACTAGAAGATCACCAGCTGATCAACCCCGACGAAAACCGTACTGGCGGTCACTAATCAGCTGGTGATCCTCAAGGTACCTCACGAGCTGGCAGTTTATAATGGATTCCATTATTTTGGAGAACAAGGAGGTGATGGCGATAGGTTTGTGCCTATCGCCATCACCTCCAACTACAGAGTTGGACGGGTCTGAGCGGTCGCCTTTTTTAGGGATCGGGTGGACCAAAGCTGTCTTCCATGAATTCGGGACTATGGCTTGGGAGTAGGAGTACCGGAAAAGACGCGTTAAAACCGGTGCCAACTCCGGAGCATACGTCTTCAGCACAATGGGAAGGACTCCATCGGGCCCACTCGACTTGCTGACGTCCAGGGAGAAGAGTTCTTTGTCTTACAGCTATCTGCAGTTAGATAAGTTTCATACTCTGATAGCCATCGTAGCCCTATTGTATAAATAATTTAGCACTTTGATATACCGACAGTCGACTTGGCACCGCTGAAGAGACTGCAGCACCAGCCAAATTTCGACGGAATCAAAGGCTTTCTCATAGTCCACATAAGCAAGACAAGGTGGCAAATTGTACTCTTCGGTCGTTCTGTACAATTTGCCGAAGGGTATGTATGTGGTCTATGATGTTAAAATCTTTTCAAAAACCGGCTTGTTTGGGAGGCTGGGAGTCGTCGAGTCTGCGTTCGAGACGATTCGTAATGACTCTCCAAAACAGCACGTAGACGCGGCTCAGAAGGTAAATTGGTCTGTAGTTCTTCAAGAGAGCGTTGTCGCTTTTCTTGAAGAACAAGACCACCGCACTTCTGCTTCACGCTTCCGGAGTGGTGCCACCTTGCAGGACGGAATTAAAGAGCTTCTGAAGCACTTTAAGTACCGGTTTTCCACCTGCTTTCAGAAACTCTGCTGTAATTCCATCATCGCCCGGGGACTTGCCGTTTTTAAGGTGCTGGAGAGCCATTCTAATCTCACTCAGACTGACGTCCGAGATATCATCGGAATAGTTACTCACATTTGCGTGTGGCTCCAACGATGACGTGTACATCTGCCCATAGAACTTCTCAATCTCATTAAAGGTATCTCAGGTATCCCAGAAACGACGCTGCCACATTCGGTTTTCAGGTTCTTCAGTTGCCTCTTTCTGGCAGACAGATCTCTGGCAAAGACTTTAGATATAGACCCTGGTTCCAGGAACATCGTTTGCTCGTATGCTGTCAAATTTGTTGAAGACTGCAGATTTACTTCCCGCCTAAAAGCTATTAGATTAAGAGTGTGATTGAAGAGTTTTTGTGTTCTTCGGCGGCGGGTCTAGCAGAACATAGCTCCGACCGCATGGACAGTTTCCACGAGCATTGTCATTCATATCATCCACAGCGTTGCGGTCTTCTAGGCTGTGAAAACGATTTTGTAACTCGAGCTGAAAGGTTTCGGTACCTTGGATTAGAGCACTTGAGGAATGGAGCGTCGACTTCATTAGACGAAGCCTCTCCAACTTTACTTTTAGGTTCAGTGTGCCTCTAACCATTCGGTGATCGCTACCAGTTTTCACCCTCGCGATCACGGAGACATCACTAAACAGTTGTCGTCTGGTCGTCATAATGAAGTCAATCTCATTTTTTGTCGAACCGTCGGGGCTCGACCAGGTCCACTTCCTGTGAGGCCGCTTCTGGCCCCTTGGGTTCCGTTGCCCTATTCCAAATTTCCCTACTTTCAGCTCACCGTTCTCTGTCGTGCCTAGTTTTGCATTGAAGTCTCCCATTAACACCGTATATTGGGTTTTGGAGGAATGCATGGCTCTAGAGATATCTTCATACATTTCCGCCACCTCCTCATCGGGATGTGCCACAAGGTTGGTGCGTAAACCTGTGGTCAT